TGAGTGAAACCATTTTGACAGTGTCAGACCCACCTTGGACCCGCTGCCCCGTCAGAACATGTACAGACTCAATAGTGTCCAACAGACCCAAAACTGAAAGGTGTCCCTCAGGCTGTGTCCAGCACAAGCTTTACACACTCAGTACAGCATCAAACAGACTCTACACAGTATGAAACATGTGGTACAGGCTCCTGTCAGTCTCCTGCCACCATCAAACAGACTCTACCCAGTATGAAACGTGCTACAGACTCTTCCCAGCCTCTATGGTGTCCATCTCCTTGCACCTGCCCTGAATCAAAGACTGGGCTACAAAAAAAACCCAACTTTGAACTTAAAAAAATCTTTACAATGTTACCAACAGGCACCTTACAGCAACAGTCTCTTTCCAGTCTTACTACAACAGTCAGCAGACCCTGTGAGGTATCTGACACCCCTCATTGTAGTGTCACACTCAGCACAGCAGCAAACAGCCCCTGTACAGCATAAAAAGTTCATTACAGGTAAGACAGTGTCACACTGGTTACAGACTAAGTGTCAACCCCACCTTTACAACCTCAGTACAGTGTCACCAAGACCCTTGAGACACCAGCACAGTCACATTTCCTACAGCAGCAATGGAACAGCATCATTTGATGGCTTCAAACATCACTGACCGCATCAGACTCTCTACAGACTCAGCAGAGAGAAACAGACTCAAAACAACAACAAAAATACTCTTTAACTTGGACAATATGACATGGATGGACAATTCAACCATTCCCAGCCTCCACACAACTCTGGGTACCATCAGACTGGGCAAAATCCTTCTGGATTAGACCCTGTACACCCTCCAACACCTTCTGTACAGGCACCATACAGCATCAGACTCTTCACAGACCCAGGACAGTGTGAAACAATCTTTACAGTGTCAGACCCACCTTGTACAGTCTCTCTGTGCAGTATCAGAACACTTAGAGGCTTGGGACAGTGACACTCTTCAGAGACAGGAGACACCATCCATTACAAGCTTCCAACATTCCTCACTGGGACAGACTCTTTACAGACTTAGCAGTATCCAACGGACCCAAATCTGAAAGGTTTCCCTGAGGCTGTGTCCAGCACAACCTTTACAGACTCAGTATAGCATCAAACAGACTCTACACAGTATGGAACATGGGGTACAGACTCTGCATAGCATCCAGTGTCAGTCTCCACCCACCATCAGACTCTTCTCTGGCCATGGACAGGCTGGACACAGCAGGAGACACCCCAGCCCAGACTCCAGCCCCCCTGGACCAGTCCCAGCAGCCTCTGCCCAGCCACAGCCCCACTGGGACCTGACCCAGCCCCATTCCAGGCTCTGCAGTGTCACCCAGGCTGGTGCCAGAGCTGGGGGGGGCTCCAACAGACCCCTCAGGCCCTTGACCAAAGCCAAGGGGTCCTTTGCTGCTTCAGAGCCTGGGGAGTCCAGCAGAGTCCTCCTGGTCCCGATGTCTGTGTGGAGTCCTCCTTGTCCCTGGTGCCCACAGAGTCCTTGTGGTCCCAGGTGCTTGTGCCAAGTCCTCGTGGTCCCTGGTGCCCACGCAGAGTCCTCCTGGTGACACACTTACACCCCTGAAGTCATGAGATGCACAACTGGAACCCCTGCACAGCACGTCTGCTGTGGAGGTGGGCTGCCCAACACCCCTGCCAGCAGAGCCAGCTTTTAGGTGACCCACGGGGAGGTGAGACAAGGTGCCAATGCCCAAGGCAGGGGCACCCGTGGGGATCTCCTGAGTGGCTCCCACCCAAGGCTGGCCAAACCCCAGGTGAAAAACCATCAGGAGAGCCTTACTTACCTGGTTGTGGACATCATCCCTAGGGTAACCCTCTCTCAGGGCTGGCTGAGGGTTCATAGCCCAGCACTCACCCAGGGTGCAGCCTCACCCCAGCCCCACCCTGCTGCCCAGGGTCACAGGGGTCCTGTGCCCACCCTCAAGGGGTCCCATTCTACCCTATACTTTATTATACTTTAATACTATCAATAAGCAACTTTCAGTACAACACCCCACATAGAAGCAAGTGTTCAAAAGTTGTTTCTTCAATTCCTTGTCACATTCAAGGCTTCCTACTCCATTTCCAAATCCTACTGTATCCAATGGGACTAACAATATAAAATGTAAAAGATAGGTTAACAAAAGACATCAGAAAGAATAAACCATGACAAGTTATATTTTTCATCTGTGGAATTTTTACCTCAAGGCAAATTTACTATAAATGTAAACAACTATTTCACATGGTTCAACTTCTAGGCTTTTTTACCCATTGCCACTATCCTGCACATCCCTAAACTCTTCAGGAAGATATTCAATGTTTTATTTTAACCTGAACTGGCAGTTATTTGTTGTCTCACTTCTGCTAATGTGATAGATATTGCCAAATAGCCATACTCTGAATCAAGACCTGACTGCTATTACATGACTGAATTTGAGATTTCCTTCACATTACTTTTAAATTACATATATCCACTTTTATGTCAAATAAAGCTGGCATCAAGGCTTAGGAACTGAAGTTTCTATCAGCCTGACAATTGCATAGTTCAAAAATTGTCAAGTTTTGCTTAATCTGGAGAAAATATTGCACTGTCCTCACCTCTTTGTGTTGCACAGGGAAAGCAGAATGGATGTATCAGGTACTCACACAAATGAAACATGATCAACATTTATACTTGCATATAACAGCACCTTCCAATGGCTCCAAAAATCAAACATGAAACACACTGACACTACTTAAACCCCCACAAAACTAAAGTTGTTCACATCAGTCATGCAGCCCTTAATTTTGTCTTGATTATAATTGATCAGTGATAAACTCCTGGAAATACAGAGTGTATATATCCATTTTTGCACAGTAAACTACAGTTGGTCATCAAAGATGCCTCCCTGCTTTCAGATTAATGGTTTATGAAATTTATGATAGCAAAACAAACCAAAGAAGCAAACTGATCTAGCAAAAACTCTCAATTCAGTATTAACAAAACGTTTGCCTTGCAATTAGGTTCTTAATCATGTCAGCAACTCAAACAAGTCCTCCAAAATTTAAATTACTTGCACAACACATTAAGATAAACTCCCAGAAAAGCACTGACAATTTATAGTCTCACCAGGTGCTGTAAAAGCAATTTTTGGGTTATAAACACATACAATACATGGTTCCATATTTATATTTCCAAAAAGAACCCACACAAACACAACCCATTTAAACTTCAGGCTACTGCACTGAAGCTTCCAAGTTACAACTTGAAATACATTGCTTATGAAAAACTTTCTACTTGCATCTTTATTTTATCCAGACAAAGAACAGGCTTAGTCAGCAAACACTCAAAGAAAATTTGACCTTTCATTCCAGAAAATCTAAAATGATCACAGCTTTTTTATCATCACAATACTGTCGGCACAATTAACTTGGATTTTAAGATAAGAATACATGACAGAGCACCTTAAGAAAATCTCTTATCTTTTGTGGTACTAAAAAAAAATGAAACTGTATCAATATTAAGTCAAAGAAAACCTATTATTAATTCCTTTTTTACACACACAAAAAGGGTTGTGTTCATTAAATGCTGGTTCCTTCAGGAAGTAAAAATCAGCACTGCTGAGATTCCATCCTTTTAATGCATTCAGACAAGTTTATTCCACTCTATATCCCTCTACAAGGCATTAGATTACACAGTGATCTTAAAATATTAGAAATAAAAACAGCTTCATCTACAATTTAAGTGGGTTTTAATGAGTCCTAGTTATGAAGCTGTGGATTTTAATAGGTTACTCTATTTTGAGAAATTACTTTAACTATGACTTAATTTAGTCTCAGAATTTCCAGTCTTTTCCCCATTCATCTCTACAGCCATCATGTTTTCTTCACTGTAGCTTAGAGTAAAAGAGAACAATTAAATCTGTGACATAAATTAAACTATTTTGGTTTGTCATGTCTTTGTGCTTAAGTAGGAATCTATTCAAATATCTGACAAAACCTTATAAATCTGGTTTCTAAGTTGGATGGCACAATACACCAGAAAAGTCTTCTGAAAACCATCTACTGCAGCAATATAGTTTAGCTACTCAGTTATCTCAGTGTTGACCAAGACTCACAGCAGTCTTTTGCTTAGTTATGGTTCTTTCCTCCCTCTACAAGCTAAATATTTAGCCCTTAGTACAGCATCCCCTCTCAGTACAGAGAGATCCCACCTGGAGTCGTGCAACCAGCTCTGGAGTCCTCAGTACGAGGCAGGCACAGACCTGTTGGGAGAAGGATTAAAGGAGGGCCACAAAACCAGGGATGGAACACCACTCCAGTGAGGAAAGGCTGAGAGAGTTGGGGTTATTCATCCTAGAGAAGAGGGGGCTCTGGGGAGGCCATATTGTGGGTCTTCAGTACTTAAAGGGGGCTTGTGAGAAAGATGGGGGCAAACTTTTTATTAGGGCAATAGGACAAGGGGTGATGGTTTTAACCCAGAAGAGGGTAGATTTAGACTAGATACAAGGAAGACATTTTTTTTACAATGAGATGTTGAAACACAGGAACAGATTACCCAAAAAGGTGGTTGATGCCCCATCCCTGGCAACAGTCAAGGCCAGGCTGAAAAAGTCCCTGCTCACTGCAGAAGTGTTGACTACAGGACCTTTAAAGGTGCCTTCCAAGCCAAACTACTCTCCAAGTCTATGATGTCCTTTAAAATGTCATAAAATTTTATTGACTTTTCCTTTACAGAGATTGACTTTTCTGTGCAAACATTATGTACTGAGTATTTAAAGATATGTATTATGTTAGCTTCAAAGTCTCTTAGCTTTACAGTAGAAAACCTGGTCATTGTAAAATGACTAAAAGCACGAAAGTTAGGGGTTTTTTTTTTACATTAATTCAATAAATTAAATATTTAAATGTTCATTTCATTGTAACTATGTACTCCTCTATACAGAAAAACAACCTAGAGTGTGTAACAGTGATCTAAGTTATCTTCTTTGACAACTCTAACACTGAGTTTAACACAAGGCAAGTCGCATGGGATTCTCTATGTTGGCTTTCAAAGTCTCCAGAAATTTAGAGGCCAGTTCATCATCTACCACCCGACCATCACTGGAAAGAGTCACTGTCATGAGCTGATGCTGCTTAAGTTTCTCATTCCCTTCTTCATCTTGCACAATCTTGAGCTCTGGCCTTGCTCTGCCCACAGCCAGGATGCAGGCCTGAGGAGGGTTTATCACTGCAGTGAAACCATTGATGCCAAACATGCCTAGGTTGGAGATACTGAAGTAAAGAGCAGAGTTAACATGAATGTCAGAAAAAAATACATATCCACTAGGAAAAATTATGTATAGTCAGTGACTACTGTGACCTCTCTCAAATCCATCAACTTCTAAAGAGATCTGGGCACATTCAGAGACTCAAGGGCTTGAGATTTTGGCAATTACAACTAATATACCCTTTTAAAGGTCCTATTTCTTCACAGTAAGTGCTTGCCATGCAAGGATATATAAGGCAGAAAGTAGGATAAAAGTCCTATCTTCAGACTTTTCCTGTCCCTTTTCCAAATGAAATGTCTTTTAGACTAAACCTCACAAGTTACAATGGCTGCCAACAACCAAGTAATACAATTTGGGCACCTAAAACTCACTCCAGGCACAGGAAATTCATTATGCCCTTGAATATTTGTGTGCCACAAGCTGAGGAGTGCTAGATTTGGAAAGGCTTTGACTCTTTCATGACAGAAGGTCTGTAGATAAAGCTGGCCCACCACCACCTCCTTTTTGTTAGGCACTACAGCAAGGCTTCTGCAGAAGTCTGCATTACTCTCATCACAAATTATTCTTGAAGACAATTACCATGAGCATTCAGAATTAGCTTTTCAAATGATAAAAAGCAAGCCAAGCTAGTTCATGTAACAAAAAAAATGTTGCTTGATGATACTGTCATAAAATATAGCCCATTAAAACATTTTATGAGCCTCAAGTGTAAAAAGTCAGCTGAGGAATTACTTGTACAACTGTCACTACATTTCTACCAGTGTTTTACACATGCCATTTATTTCTTGTCATTGTTTTTGCAGAGTACCTTTTATAGAAAACTTAATCACTAAATATCTGCTAATATTTAAAATTGATCTACTCAGTTTTTGGTGTTTCAGTTAAAAACTATGAGAATTAACATCACAACTTTGCTGTAACTTTTTGCCCCTCTAAAACTATTCCTCTGAAGAGTTAATTGAAGACAATCTAGACCCTGTCTGCTGCAACACCTCTGCCAAATAATTTAAAAAATATTGATTTAAAAATCATCAATAGGTTTGCCTAACTTTAAAAATAAAACCAACCAAACATCTGTCTGCAATTGGGAAAAATTAGGTGTGAAAAGACTGATCAGATTCAGTATGAAAAACATGAACTCAACAGCAGGCTCAGAGGAAATGAGCCTGTACCAAGATGTTCCCTCCTCATACAGGACACTTGGCCTAGGTTTGGCCCTCAAAACCACCAAACAGCATTTCATTCTAAATGGAACAAGGTTTTAAAGGGCAATAGCTAAGGATAAAAGAGTTCTGAATCTACACTGCATGTATTAAACACTGCTACAGGATTTTACCTAAAGGATCCTCCCTGGTACTCTTCTGGTAACAGTTTTCCATCTCTTGCTTTCTTTGCTAAAGCCTAAGGAAGATGAGAGAAGAAAAAAAGACAGAGGAAAGTAATTAGAAGTGCTGTTAAGAGACTGTTGTAGCTTCAAAGATTTGGCAAAGAGATGAGGACACAAAACTTCATTTTCCTAATGATATTGGCTGTTCACTAACAACCCTCATCTGACAAACTTTGCTCCAGTTTCCACAAGGAACCACTGTTGTCCCTGATGTTTTTAGATGATAAAAACACCTACAAAATACTGATGAGAGATTCACAGTATTCTTTACACATTTGTTTGAAGGAACTGCCATGTATCACTTCAGAACTTTCTAGCAGATTGAATGTATTTCTTCCAGCTAAGCATTCAATTACCTTAAAACCAACCTTCATTTCATTTGTGAGTCTTTTCTACTTCCAGATCTAACAGAAGATGTCCACAAATGTTTGGTTCAAGATATAGCCCAAGTTCACATTACATTCTAAGATAAATGACCATGGTGGTTCTAACAACTGCAATGATTTCAGCTTAGAAATAAACACCAAGAAGTTTAAGAGAATCTCATTCTAACAAGGCACCCACTACACTGAAGCTTACACCAAGTTTTTGTAGGACTTGGACATCATCCTTATTAGGAGTTTAAAAGTTAGAAGGACACAGGGAATTTATTTGAGGCTTCTATTCATCTCTGAATAATTAGTGAACCAGAAGACAACAGCCATGAGAACAACAATCACACAATAAGGTCAACTTTCACAACACATTCAACATGAAATAAGCAATATGGTCTAGAAACATCTTAAAAACATCCAGTTAGGAATGTTTTGTGGCATGACAACACCTTTTCCTACTACAATTTTGTTGGTTGTTCTCCTCCACCAACACAGACTATTATCATTTCTGTAGTTTTTGGTAAATGACAAAAATTTACCAAGTGCAGCTTGTGTCTGGTTTTGGGAGTTTTATGCCCTAGCAGCTACTTCCATGGCATTCCTCAGATACTGAAGGCCTTTGATTAGCACTCATTAAGTTAAAAAGAAGGCTTGTGCTGGGGCATTTCATCATCCACTGTATTTTTGCCTGCCACAAAATACTATTTCTGTGCCTGGCAACAACTGCCATGGACTCAAGTCACTCACTCTGGTCTATGCAAAATATTGTTCATTTATCTGAGGAATTTTATGTCACCTTTTGGGTGACATACTCAGCTGAATTGCATACTTAAAATGCAGAAAGAAAAGGGCCATAATAGAACTGCAGAGACTTAACAGAAGCAGCTACAAGCAAATTTCTGGGAAAAGGAAAAAAAACAACCTCTCAAAAACCCAAAATCTCAAACCCAAATACTGAAAATACTAAATTAACATTATCTAGCTTTTTCATGAGGATTCAAGAAATACAATTAAACTGCAGTAATCTTTACAGGTTTGTTTTTCAAACAGTCTAGCCAGCATTCAACTAACCAACATGATGGCTAGGTTATTGTTAATAAAAAATGAACAGAATTGCAAAATTCATAACAACTTTGAATTTGAGGGAATGCTGAAACTGCTTTAGATCCATTTTGAAACTGCCTTTGTTGCAACTGATGGGTATCTGGGTCATGCTACATTTTGTTACCAAAAAAAACCCTACAATGTACAGTGTGCTGAGGAATTTAAGACCTACCTTTGCAGAGGCAGCAATTTCCTTTATTCCCTTGGCAGCCACATCTTTTATGATTGGGGTAATGAGACCTCTGTCTGTTGCCACAGCAATAGAAATGTCAATGGAGTGCAGCTGCCTGCAGACTTCTCCATCCCAGGTTGCATTCACATCTGGCATTTGCTAGAAGGGAGAGAGAGAGAATAAAAAAAAGACAGCTGTTAAAAGAACACCAGTGCAATCAATTATCAAGGAAAAGGAAAATCCTCTCAGACACATAGCTACAAACAGGCATTCACCAAATTAATTAGTGCATCACAGATTGCTGGCTGTAAATGAAGGCAAAAGGACCAGGCACATCTATCATCAAGACTGCCCTGAGCAAGACAAAAAGAAGAACCCAAACCAAAAAAAATCACTGTGGCAGTCTGAGAATAGATGTGCATGATTAGCTTGTATTCATTTTATGTAAAATTACTTTGTCTAAAAGCATGACAGAAAGCCTACAAATTCCTTCAGGAGTCACTGACACCACCCTACAGATGGCCAGTATGCAAGGCTACAAAGCAGAATCATTTCTCCCCACAAGTAAATCACAGAATATTGATTTAGAAGCATGGAAATGGACATCCTACTGTACCTATTTGCTCTTTTCCACTCCTGTCTCAAGAATGACTTTCAACAAGGAAGCTACAAAAAGAATATGCTCCAAGTACTTATGTGGATGAGATTCTCCTAAAAGGCATAAAGGTGTTTTTTTTTTTTGTGTGGAATCCATTAAAATTGAGATAATGTTTACTGATAATTTCAGGGAGGTTTTTAAGTTGAGCATATAAAGCTGAAACAGCTCTGGGAAAAAAAAAAACAAACATACAAGACCCCAAACTGAGCTGAAGTCTCAGGTAACTGGCTCTAGATACTGTGAAGGTACTACTTCCAATAAATCCAAGATCAGTATTTAGTCATCTTAATGCAATTAAAAATTAGAAAGTTGACTCCATAGTGGAGAAGGTATAAAAAAAATATGGGAGACATATCTCCATCTAAACTATTCCATTATCTCCATATAAACTGAATTCCTAGAAGTAGTGTAACTGTTCTCTAAGTTCCTATTCTTCAACAACAGAATAGATATTTAAAAAAAAGAAATAAAAAACAACAAAAAAGGATGGGAGTACTCTTTGCAAGTTAAATAAACTTCAAGGAAGTCTCACAGGATACACAGTTGTCAGATGCCTCCAAGTGGGTGTTGTACAAATATGACTCTCTATAAGGGATCTGAAAGAGATGGTAGGGACAAGAAGTTTCTCCTGTCAACTTCAGTATGATTAGAATAGTCTCACATTTTATGCAGACCAGACAATTTTGCCATGATTCCAGCAATGAAAGAATATTTGTAAAGGGTGGCTGCTACAGGGGCTGTTGTTACACATGGTTGTATGTCACACAGCCTAGTAGTTAAATGGACAGGACTCATCTAAGCTGCAGGCAGCAACTCAAAAACCCATAAACAACAACAAAAAGCTTTTATTATATAAGCAGAAGCATTGAATGCTTGTATTCAAATCATTCTTTCACCTATAGACAAGTTGGAAACTAGGATTACATTCCACTATCTTTCTTGACTCATTTTTTTTGGCATAGAATAAACCACACAAAACTTAAGTCTTTATTTTCTGAAGGATTTGTTATCCCATTCACTATTGCAGCAATTTTTGGATGTCACCATTTCTTCCTAAGGTTCTTCACAGTTCTCTCTTTTCACAACTTTGGAAATAACACTGATTTCACATTATGTCCTCCAAGTCATTATATTTGGGACACTCTGGATTAAGAGGTGACAGTTCTAAAGCATTGGAGTCCTCCTAAAGACTGTTGCCTGAAGAATTTAACTCATAAGGACAGGTCATTGAATCAGAACACATCTAGGGCAAGACACAAGATCAGTGTAAGACTTGGACAAATATTTTTTTTTAATAAGATATTGCTTATTATAAGATGCAACAGCAAAGAAAAGATGATTTATCCTGCCAGTTGCTTTAATCTGCTGAGGAAGCACCTACTGCTATCTGCACATGATACCTGCAGTAAGTGGATCTTTACCAAATATTTCTTTTAATAAGATATTGCTGCTTATAAGATGCAACAGCAAAGAAAACTTATCTTGCCAGTTTCTTTAATCTGCTGAGGAAGCACCTACTGCTATCTGCACATGATACCTGCAGTAAGTGGATCTTTACTAACAAGTTCTAATTTTTACAGTCAACAGCATAAACAGTGTAAAGAATTTTACCTGGATAGCTTAAAAAAGCCCTGACAATAAAAGATAAAGAATCACAATGATGGCATTCATATCTCTATATAGGTCCAGCTCCCTGGCAGTTTAGGACAACACATTTTTAAAGTCAGTTATTCACTTACCTTCAGTGTAACTGCAGTTGCCTTGATAATAAAATCATTTACAGAGACTTTAATGTCATCTGCAAAAAGACAAAAAAGACAAGAATCATTTTTCACAAGACTGGTTTATCAGCATTTGTTTGATGACAAGATTCCAGTGATTCAGATTTGGTTCTCTGAAACATTGCCAGGAAGCAACTCATCTTCAAACTAAAACCATAAAGCAAGAAAACTTTCCTTCCCTTTGGGACAACAGGAGTATTATCAAGGATGAGTCTCCTGAGTAGAGACATCATGGCTAGATGATACTAGAAGTTCAAAAAAGCTGTAAATTTGAGTAATACTACTCATTCTTATAAGTAGCAGCCCCTATGGGGTTTGTTTTACATATTTACTGTCTATGTAGAAATCCTGGAGATTACTATTCTTCATGTGGTGTGATGCATTAACTCGAATAACTGCAGAAATTAGCTTTTATTCAGCTATAAATAGATCCATGTTATTCTCCAGTGGCCTTTTAATGTGAGAATTAGCAAGGTGAAGGCATCTGTCAACCCTTAAAATGGGTCAATGAGATATTCTAAAGCAGGCTGTAAAAGAGTGAGAGAAAAAGCTGGTAAATTAAAAACAAAACAACAAAAAAAGAAAGCAGATACAATGCAGAACATGCCACAGTTGCTCCAAGATTATCCTGAAGTGATCCTCAATTTGGAGGAATGAAACAAGTACCCACTTATTACCCAAGTGTAATGACTGCCATGATTAGCAAAACATGCTGAAGAAGAGCAAGAATTCTAGTTTAACACAATGGAATCTGCTGCATTGACAGAATCTGACATCCAACAAACCTGTATCTTGGCCATCAAACATATTTTGGTATTTTGATATCCAGCTTTGGGGGAGAGATTTCTATTCCAACAGCTCAACATAGCTGTGAGCAGAAATATAAGTTCCAGTGAAAGAGAAAACTCTGACTCCTTCATATTAATACCATGACTGGGCCTTCAAGAGGCATTGACCATGCATTGGCTAGTGCATGTTAAACTTGCTCTCTTTATCACCATGGCTAAAGCCTTTCCCACCCAGAATTTGGAAGGTTGCATCAGCTTTCCCTTTCCAGGAAATTCAACCAAGAGGTCAGCAAAAATGAATTTGAACAGAATGAATTTGAACATTGTACCAAGAAGGACAAAGCATGAGTGGATTGGAAGCTTCCCCTATGCATGTAAAAAATAATAATTTGAGATTTTAACCATCAAGAATCTAAATCTGGATGGAAGGAAACAAAAACCTAATGGGCAATGCATAGTACTGTGTTAAACTTCCCTTGTCTACAGGGTGTCATGTTAGCTGGCAAAGTAAAACCTCCATCTTCCTGAACCTTGCCAAGTTACCCAATTCAATAATAATGAGAGGAAACTACAGCTCAAGCTCAACACACAGATTACCCAACGAGAGGATTTGAATGCCTCATGTTCTGCCAACACAAAAAAAAACCTACCCCTCCTGGGCAAGAGGATATAAACAAGAAACTACACAGCAGCACCACGTCACAACAAATCAGTTTCACCACTAACCTTTGGCCAGTTCTTTCCTTAATTTCAAAATCTCATCAATGTTACAGTCAGCAGCAGCATAGGCATGAGGGATAGTAGTTTTAGACTCTGTTAATCTCTTAGCAATAACTCTTCGGATGTTGCTAGCTGGAATTTCTGTGAAGGTGCCCTGAAAGAAATCATATGCTACAAACTAAGTGTATCAAGACAGAAACCTTTGCTGGAAAAAGGACTCCTGCATGGATGCATTATCAGCAATGACTCCTGCAAGCTTCAAATATGCCCTAGATATAAAAAAAAAGGAATACATTCCAACTACTGAAAATAATATTACTAAGACCATTGAGTCTTTCTCAAAGTCAATAGTCATTCTAGTCTATTCCACCTAATCTGAACCAACAAAACAGGTTTTATAACATGGAATGGATCCCACTTAAATATTCAGGTATTACTATTCCATCTGCCAGACCTGGCATATTAATTAGAATATTCTTCATTCCACTTAAAGTATAATAGAATATTTCCTCAGTAAGCTCCTGCTTTTTCAGTTCACTGAGTGGTTCCAGGGTTCACTGCATGTTTTTTTGTTACTCTTCTCTCCTTCCAGATACACAATGTTTCAATTATTTTATAAATATACATCTATATCCATCTATCTCTATAATGTTTCAATGCAGAAGTTTCCCCAACTTCTTCATTAGGAACCTCTTGAAATATCAGTGCCTACAGAAAACATGAAAACAAGTGATTCTGCAAAAAAAATTTGTATACCTAATCTATGGCATGTGTACTACACATTAAGTACTACCCAACACACAACAAATAGCAGCATGTATGTTCTGGTACAATCATAGAAACCATTCTTTCCTGTTAGAGAAAAATATCTAAGTTTGATCTTTCTGTGCTTTGTTTGGTTGCTTTGTATGGTGGAGGAAAAAAACAGGCATTTTCTGAATTTTATGAACTACAGCTACGTTGTGAAATTTAGCCTGTAAATACATTTCAAATTTAGTTCAGGAGCCAGAGAGGTGCCCCCCTCCATTTCTCACAAAAGCCTTCCAATTCCTACTAAGATGCACTTCAGCATGGGCATTTATTCTTTAAAAAGTTATTTCTGGTATTTCTAACATTTCAAATTAATGTAGGAACTGTGCTCAGGTGCTAGAATTTACAAAAATTACTTTTCAAAGCAAGCACTGAGCCCTTTCCTACCTCACTTCTTGAGAGCTGATCAATGGAGATTTACATACACTCCTACTGCAGCTAAAGCAAGTGACTGAAGCACAGTAAAACCAAACCAAGATCCAAGTTTCTCTGAGTTTGGAAATACAAACTCATGTCCTGATCCTGCAGGGATTGAGGAAAAGGGTGCATTTTTGATTTCCAAATGAGTGGCATCTTCTTGTCTGGGAACTGAAATGAAACTGCTGCCTCTCTGACTTTCCTCTTTCCAAGGCCTGTGATGTAAATTTTTTCATGACTTCTATTTGCAAGTTACACAAAGTAGTGTGCAAACCATAATCTTCAGAGCTCTGCAGTTTGGATTAAGCTGCTTTAGAATCACTCACACATAGAAAAAACTTGAAAACACATAAAAAAAACCTTGAACACAATCTAAAGACTGGGCTTGGCATCTGAGTGCCCTTTATTTCCTTCGTCTCTCCACTTCTGGCAATCTCATGGTAACATTCAGCTGCAGCAATACTGAACTTATCAGAAGGCTCACCACTGCAGCAGGTTGTCCTGGTGTGGAAGCTGGTGGAACTGCTGGTCTTGGATAAGGAGAAGCCACAGCTGTTGCCTGGGAAGCAGAAGGCACTGCAGTAGGCTGGGCTGGAGCTGGAGCAGCCACAGGTTTCAATTCGCTGGGTTTGCCCTTCTGCTGCAGAAGCTTGAGAGCATCCCTGGTGATTAAACAGTTAAATACTGACAACATAGAACACATTTCAAAAATTCTGAAAGCATTACTATTCCATCACTTCTTTTCATTAATTAGTCCCCTCTGTGCTTTTACATTTCTGTTGTCAAACCAAACATTAAGGTTATTATCAAGAAACAAAGCCAGAAACTGAGGATCACCACAAAACTTCCCCTCTTGTGGGCACAGTATGACAGATAAATAAGCTTAAAGCTTATAATACTTATAATAACAGCAGCTTTAAGCTATAATACTACACCTAGGTGCATTTTATTTATAAAGCAACATGCTGAAGATTAGCACCTATGAGAGTAAACATAAACTGGTGGACTGGACACCACTGCCAACTGCAAGATAAAAAAGCTACAATAAAATTTCTATCTTGCAGTCACAACTGTGCCCATAGTTGTAATCAGATCTAGATCTTCTAACAAGTTGCAAGATTCTGTATCATATACCCTAAATAAATCTCTATCATTTCATGAAGACATCACCACAGCATGTACACAAAGGTTTATACACATGAATTTTTATTATATAAACTGGTAGAGGAGATTAAAAATAAATGTAAAAAAAAATAAGACTACTTACAACCACACCAAGGCTTCAAAATATAAGCCATAAATACTAAAAAAAGCCAATTTCATTGATAACTGCTTGAGGGAGAGCCTATTTTTAAGTGAGGAGTATCTCACTTAAGGACAATATCTCTTAGTTCTTGCTAACAAAGCAGCACTACAGAACCAAAAACTGAATACTGAAAAGCTCCATAATATTTTTAGCTTCAATACATACCTCAGCAAATGACATTAAAAATAAATATAATGACTGAGCTCAAGATGTAAAATTATCATTAAAGTTGTTTCCCAAATTAACATGTTAGTCAAAATTTGTTTAAGAAAATATATATTTAGTATTTAACACAACTTCTGTATCAGTGGGAAAAAAAAATATACTTAATTGAATGAAAGTCATTCCCCACCACTACAATTTGAGATAAAAAATTTAACTGCATAATATAATGCAACTTTCCTAGTTAATATATTAGAAGCTACAAGAAATTACTTAAGGGTTTTAACTAAGCAGACATAAGACAGACCATCTGCTCATTATAGTCCATAATACATAAAGCTTTTGTAGCTTCTTATATATTTTACAGCTAAGGAAATGCCTAAAAATTAATTCCAGATATTATGCAAATGGCAAAACTCCAGATGGTTCTACCTCTCACAGCCCTGTCAAAAGCTTTAATAGTTTTTGGTGGCTTTTAGTGTGTTAACTGAAAAATGGATTGCCAAATTTGAGCTTATTTTTAGAAGATTCACTCAGGAGTTTTTGAAATGAGTTATAAATATATATAAAGTGTATATATAAAAAAAGATTTCATACATATATTTATGTATCCTATAAATGTGTGTTATATACACATATAAAAATCATTTCCCCACCACCAATTCTATGATTTAAGAAAAACAGAGCAATATTATGGCTATCATTGGTGCAAGACTGTGAGCCTGCATATAAGTAAAATTGGAGAAGGCACCAAATTGAACAGATTTCAGTACAAATCAGGCAAACAGATATTTTATTAGAACTGGAAAAGGGTTGGACACATCTTGCCCACTACTCTCTCAACCTATCAACACAACTATAAACCTCTATCAACACAAGATAGTAATGGAGAAAGATGAGAGAGGCATAACAAGTGTGAAAATGAGCACAGAGGATTTTCAGGAAGAAGGAGAAAGATGAGCAAAGACTGTTACACATCACCAACTCCAAGGTGTAAGACTTACTGCACTTCCAACACTCTAGAAGGAACTCATTCCTCTGTAATGGCAGCTGACCAATTGCACACAGCATAAACTCCACTAAGACTGCACTCAGTCCACACACATGAAATGAATGAAAAGCCAGCACTGGATGTGTGCACTGGGCCTTATTTGCCAATGCCTGAGCAGCTCTGAGATCTCAAACCACAGTAACAACACCTGGTAGGAAGGTACAGAGGGAAGGAACACTGCTTCAGAAAAAGCACACTTGTTATTGGTAACTAGCCCCTCACCTTTTATATGGTTGCACTTCTAAACCCCTAGATCACTAGTAAATAGGATGAGAAAGGCAGAAGGAGTGAAACCATCAGCAGTTTTAACACAGCTCTCCCAAACACCCTGAGTTGGATTACTAGGAGGAACATGGTGCAATCTTTGAGGGAAGCTGTTACGTTGCATTGACATCAATTTCCTCGTGTACTTCTGAAGAAAGCAGAGGGTATTGCTTAAAAATATTAAAAAAAGAAGCTGCCACTTCCTAAAAGAAAAACAAACAGGCAGAAGACAACAGTAATTCAGCCTTGCACAGACATGTAAAAGTAGTATCAGCCTACTAAGGGAGAAGATTGTGACAGAGAAAGCTGTTAAGTGAAAGCTCCTATTGCTGTTAAAACTTTTACAACAAATTGAATTGCAAGACAGAAAGCTGAGGGGAAAGAATCTTGCTTGCTTACACAACTCACTGTCTTTGTTTCCTGTCATCTGATGGGCATCAGCCCTGTTCAGTAAGGAAACCCAGAGCTGAAAAGTGAACTTGCAACAGTCCCTCCAAGAATCAAGCCCTAATCTATTTGGAAAAGAGACCATGAGACACTCAGCTATAAAACATGGCATGGATTTTAACAGTAAACTCAAGTCAGCAAAAGAAACATTTTCAGTAATATCTGTAGCAGCTCTTTACTAAAATCTGCAAATATTCAATTTCAAACTCATCTTTCAGATGCCTACAGGCTCTGCTAATAGGTTTAACAGCATTTCAAAAGAATGGTGAAAAACCCCCAAGTCTGTATCTTACAATGACATTTCAAAGTCAAATCTTTTGCAGGGAAGGAAAGTTTTGAAAAAAGAAATTGATTTTGTTAGAGAATTCCCAAAACAACAGCTAAAAAAAAAAATCTTTGCTACATCTCCATGACAAGCAGGGAATATTAATTAGGTAGCTCAAAGTCCTAGGGGGTTTCCACCTGCCACAGCCTTAGTAACACACCATAAGTTACTCTTAAACATACATAATTATGAAAAAACTATCACTGATAATTTGCTGTTAGGGAGGATATTACATCTACTCAAATCCCTATTTTATTTCAACTCAAAGACCACAGGAAAAAAAGTTTGGAAAAAACAGCAGACTTCCCCTGTCAGCTTCTCTAGCTTCAACTTCAAGTGACACTGAGCTGGTTGTCTTTGAATGGAACTAAAAATTCCAACAGCTACTGAGGTCTGTGTAGGTGAATGATGGCAGTAGTAAAATTACTCCTTTTGACAAAGAACAAGAACTATTACTGGCAAAACCCTCAAGTCCAACCACACACACTCTAATGTGAAGATAATGCATCATTTCAAGGCTAAGGGCTCTGGATTTAACATATTTTTATAGACAAGTTCTTCACTCCATGGCTTGAGTGCCAATCATTGCAGCAGAACACTCCAAAAGTGGAGTAAACTACCAGAAGTCTGATTGTAACAAACTACAGGTTTAGCAACAAACATTCTTTACATCAAAGGTGAGGAAACCCCCAAAATATTGGAGAAAAACAAGACTGGATTTCTCACCATTACACTTCATTGCTCTCTGCAGCAGAATACTCAAAAAGTGTAATAAACTACTAGAAGTCTGATTGTAACAAACAACAGGTTTATCAACAATCATTCTTTATATCAAAAGGTGGGGAAACCCCCAAAATATTGGAGAAAAACAAGACTGGATTTCTCACCATTACACTTCATTGCTCTCTCCAACTTAATAAAAAAGGAACACATGAAACCCAAACAAACATCATAGTTGAACTTCAGTGAAAGACACAAAAGATCAGAGCTGCCCAAAGAAAAGGATGAAGAAAAGAGGCCACTGGTCCATTATTTTGGCTCTGAATCCATCAGAGTAGTCAATCTTGAGCTCCACAACAGGAGCTAACAGTGGTACCTAGGAGTTGCCAGCCATTAGGCTGAGCTGCAGGAAATGGGACAGCAGCACCACACAGCTCAGATGGAACACAAAACAAAAATATGGGGGGGATTTTTGTGTTTGTTTTTTTTAATTAGAGGGTTCTTACAATATTCCCTAACCTACTCACCAGATCTTCTCAACAGGTTTTCAAATTCAACTCAACCATTCCCCCACAGAATAAAGAAAAGAAATGGAACAAAAAAAGCTGTTTTTTTAAATCCATGTGCTTCTCAAGCTCAGGGAGATGAGGGTTCAAAGTAAGGACTGAGGTAATATAAGGTTGTAGCTTCACTGAGCTGTGTACATACTCTTTAGTGAAGATCCCTCGAGGCCCAGAGGGGGTCACAGTGCTTGGATCCAGCCCATGTGTCTCCAGAATGTGGCGAGCTGCAGGACTGAAGCGAATCCTAAAAACAATGAGAAAAACAACTTTAAGCAATCAGATTAACTTATTTCATGTAATATCCACCAAGAAAAACTCACACTACATGCACTATTTCAGAAGCAACACCTGGACAAAGGCTGCAGTTCTAACACTGAAGTCAGACAGTGTCAAGACAAGAGGTTTGCTCATCTCTTTTCAAGTCTCTCCATATCCTAACACTGAAGACAGACAGTGTCTTTTCACTGAGATTTAACACAAGGTTGAATTTAAAAACCATAAATGACCTTAAAGGAAACAAAATATTGTGGAAAACTCTTACAGCAACAATGCAACATACTTGAGGATTCTTCTGGAAAAGGGTCAGCAGTGAAGAACCAAACACTCTAAGACTAGGTTGTTACAGCAACATTTAAAAGAAAAGTGAGCTCTGGAAGCTCAGACAAGAGGGTTGCTCATCTCTTTTCAAGTCTCTCCATAAAAAACTCCAATATTATTTCCTAAAGGAGACTGGATTTGCACCATGTTGAGTTTTAAGAATCATAGAATCACAGTGGTTGGAAATGCCTTCAGGGATGTCTCCACCACCTCCCTGGACAGCCCCTTCCAGTGCCTGACCACTCTCTCAGGGAAGAAATTCTTGCCAATATTCAACTGAAACCTCCCCTGGTGTAACTTGAGGCCATTTCCTCTTGTCCTGTCATCAGTAATTTGGGAGAAGAGACCAATCCCAGCCTTTTAGGTAGCTGTAGAGAGCAATAAGGTCTCCTCTCAGTCTCCTCTTCTCTAGACTAAACAACCCCAGTTCCTTCAGCCAGTCCTCATATGGCATGTTTTCCTCTCACCAGCCTTGTTGCCCTTCTCTGGACCCACTCCAGCACCTCCATGTCCTCCTTATCCTGTGGTGCCCAAAACTGGACACAGGACTCAAGGTGTGGTCTCATTACTGCCAAGTCCAGGGGCATGATCACCTCCCTGCTCCTGCTGGTCACACCATTTCTGACCCAGGCCAGGATGCCCTTGGCCTTCTTGGCCACCTGGTCCCACTGCTGGCTCATGTTCAGTCACTCTCCACCAGCACCCCCAGGTCCTTTTCCACCAGGAACTTTCCAGCCACTCCTCCCCAAGCCTGGAGCATTGCCTGGGGTTGTTGTGACCCAACTGCAGGACCCAACACGTGGCCTTGTTAAACCTCATCCAGCTGACCTCATCCCATTGCTCCATCCTGCCCAGACCCCTCTGCAGAGCCTCCTGACCCTCAAGCAGAAGTATCCATAAGCCTCTGCCAAAAAAAAGTCACAGATGATCACTTAATTCCAAAGATGCTGACACATCCCTAACAGCTGCAGTGAAACAGAGGCACTTCTGATGTTCTTTGGTAGTAGAATTTCAGACTTAATCCTGTCAGGTATCCTTTCCTTGGATCATTCTTCTACTACAGGTAACATTTGTGCCATGACCTCAGCTAGTTGGCTTCCACTTGTATGAGGTGATCTTAAATGCTGACAAAAAAATTAAAACATAGTAAACAAGATAAAAAAGGTTTTTAAAAAAAAAAATCACCTCCCCCAAACTAGAAAACCACAAAACCCCAAGACAACCCAAATGACACTAAAAATAGTTTCCTATTCTTTTCCCTAGTAGGCTGTAAGTTTGCAGCTTGTGTTATCACAATTCCCCCCAAGTAAGGAGTGATGACTCCAAATAAGGTACATCCTGCAGCACAAACCAGTGATTTAAAGATGACTGTTACCCAACACTTTGAGGTTCATTTATTCCCCCTCTAAGAGGTTTGTAGTGCTTAGAATCCTAAGAGAACAAAACAAACCTAGAATTTTTTTTCTAATATCAAAAAGCAAAGAGCTTGGAAGGGGTTTAGGGTGTGCTATTTGTCTATTTTTCCCCTAAAAAAGAAACAGAAGACAAGTTATAGATAAACTGAGCATCTGATGCATAAATACTAGTGCCCACTGGATATAAACCCAACTTCTTTCTAATCTAAGCTTAGAATCCTTCATAAAGCAACTGTCAGAGTAAAGACACACCCATAGAAAGTGTTCTAATAAAACTATGTTGTTTGAACTGACTTACAAGCAACAGGCAGGCAAGCTTTATTACCTCACACACACTGAAACACATTCTTCAACTAAGGGCTTAATAATAGGTAGAAAGAGACAAAAAAAAGCTCCTTCTTGGTTCAGCTCTGCTGATGTAACTAAGTAACAGTCCCATTTCACAACAAACAAGCTTACTGCAGTTTTCCAGGTTGCTGTTCCACTTTAGGAGGGGCTGAAACTGAAGGAGCTGGAGGAGCCGAGGTCAGCGTGGCTGCTGGTGGAGACACAGGAGATGGATCACTAGCATCAGCTGGTATCTCAACTTGCTTCCAGTCCTGTCCTTCCTCCACCAGCAGAGCTATTAGTGAGCCCAAACGTATATTTTTCCTTCCTTCTTCCACCTAAATTTAAGGCAATGAGAACATTAAGTTACATATCACTCTGTCTAGACTAACAGGGCTAAAAATTGGAGCTGGGTCTTCAGGCTTATTAATGACACTTCAAGAAAACAGATGACATCTTATTCCTACTATTAATAAGATGAATCCTAATTGAAATTAATTACAGTTGCTATTATAAGGTGAGGAAGATTAACTTCTGCCCCAAAATCCCATGTATCTAAAGTTAGCAAGTTACAGACCACAGAGTATCTCCAAAAATAAAGTCACATTAGCCAATGACAACAAATGGCATGAAATGAAGATATTATTTAAGACTTAATTCAGTGTTTCTTGTTCTGTAATTGAATAAAAGCTCTTGTGATGTCAAGTCCTTAGCACAAGTCTGGTGTCAGAGTGTTTAAATGGTGCTATGATAAGACATGCAGAAATCCAGCAGGGATGCCTGAGCCTTCAGAAACAGAACTCTTCAGCTACTCAGGCTTTGTTTAGAACCCAGCATCATCTGAGCACTCAAAGCTAGCAATGCTGTCCACTAGCACTCCTCAGAGCAAGCCAATTGTGGTTTTTTTCTCTCATGTTCACCACTCCAAAACAGTTCTGTGAAAACTACAGCATTCTTTATTTTCCAATAGAAGTTTCCAGCCCAGAAGGCTGCAGTTGATACTTAAGAAGTGTATGGATGTATTTAAAAAAGTTTTAAATAAAAAAGTTTTAATGTAGCTTGGAACTAGAATAGACAAAGAAAAACAGTTAATATTTTACTTAACTTTTCATCTCCTGGATTTTTGAGTCACTTCTGTATTTTATGATTCACAAAAATCAGAAAACCTCTCTGTATAAACCTCAGCTAAGTCCAGAATCTCAGATATAGAAAGATTAAATCAATATCTTCATAATATTTCTATTGCTATGTGTACACATAGCCAAAAAAGTGCTAACAAATCAGTGAAGCACAGGTGAGCCATGGCAGGGAGAAAAAAATTGGAGGAAATTAAAAGCACAGAGGAATAAAGTTCCTTTGGGCTTGTTGCCACTGCACACATACACCAAAGCAGATGTTTAATTCCTACACTGGGAAGAAAAGTGGACAGAACTTATGCTGGCTGACTCTGCAGTGGAAGTTTTGTACCAAGTAGTTTCACAGATTATGAATGAGAACATGGTAATGGATATTAAATTCAGTTCTTAATCATTCATCATCTGGTTTTGGTCCAAATTAAGCTACTAAGTATTTTAGGACAAAAAAAAGTCAGCCTTCATTTAAGAAGCAACTCTACTGAAAGAATAGTCACCAGTCCAAAATTACCCTTCTAATACTTTCAGTCATTTCATCTTTTCCTGCCCTTTAAGTCAGATGTGAATATTAAAAGACCTATTCAGACAGAAAAGGATTATCTGCTTTACTCCTAGCCTGCTCTATTGAACAGCTTAGCACCATGAACATTTTTGCAACAAAAAGTCTACTACAGCTTTATTAATGATTTCCATACACCAGAAGAGGGGAAAAAAAAACTCAGCACCATGAACATTTTGGCAACAAAAAGTCTATTACAGCTTTATTAATGATTTTCATACACCAGAAGAGGGGAAAAAAAAACATCATTGCATTGCTGGAAAGTCAAATGCTCAATCAGACCAATTTCTGTCTGTGTATCATTTAGTCTTTAATAAAAAGCTCACTTGTATTTCTTCTATTTTCTATGTATATCAAGATGGTACAAAGAAATGGAGTTTTGCCTCTAGGATATTCCTGCT